CACCTCTTTTTCAGGGAAGATTTTCTAGAGTTGGAAAAGCAAGCAACAGACAAGTGAGCAAAAGAAACGAACCAAACATGAATACAACTACGAACTAATTGACATTTGTTTGCAGTATTCCCTTTCTTTTCCCAGGTCGCTACTTTGTCTCCAACTGAGACACTTACTGATGTGCTTAGATCAGGCCTGCCATGCTCTCCAGCAATGTACCAGAACACTGTTTTCCCCTCTCCTCACCATCAAAATTTACTTGCGTTGCATGTTCTCGGCTTCAAAAAATCAACCTAGAGATGATCAGAGGTCAGTGCTTTGAAGCATCTTAGCTCATGAGATGGGTAGTGAAATTTGAAGGCCTGGGAGTGGATTAAGTAGCATGTCTTTAGGCAAGGAAAACTTTCCCATTCTGCATAGGCAAGTGCTTACTGAGCCCTTGTGTACAGTATGCCTTGAAAAGAAGGAAAGGAAAATAAAGTGATTTTGGCAAGTCATTCCCAATAAACTCCTTTGGTACACTCAAAGTGTTATCAGTCACAATAAACGCCTCAAATTTGCAGCCACTGTTTAGGATTCACATATTACTCTCAATTATGCACAGTATCTCTTTTGATCCTTTCTCTCTTGAGGCTTCCAACATTTCCCTGCCTGATATCCAGTCACTGCTACCTGAGTTGTCAGCAGTTGGTAGACCAGATTCTGCACCTATCCATTAATTTTGAGCATCTATTTTCACTGGAGACTGGCTTTTCTCAGCCATCTACCACCAGTGAACATTTCTTGAGTACCTACCATGCATAAGGCCGTGTGTTTCCCTCTGGACTACTACTGAGGCTGTATGGGCTTTTAGGAACAAATTGCCACTCGTTATCTCACATTCGGAGATTTTTTTTCCAAGAAATATTATAGCTTTCAACTGACTTAATTACCTGGTTCCTTTTTTGTAAAAAGTGGGAAAACTAGATTGATCAATCATACTGGTTCCCCAGAGCTAGGGGTTTTCTGGAACATTCAGTGTTAAAATCAAGAAAATTCTGAGAAAACTGAAATAATTGATTACCCTATAATACCTATTGAGTGCCCACTGTTTCCATCTGCTATGATTTAGGCATTGATGGGTTGCCTTCCAGGCCAGAATTAAATGAATGCCGGAGAAAATGATGTTTCAAGGCAGAAATGCTGGAGTAAATGTCTTAGCAACTCATTCTCTGGGTGAGGCAGAGGGCAATTCCTGATTTGCAGTATTTGCCATTTTCTGCAGTGTAAACACTCACACAATGGCCAATAAAGCTACCAATGTGATGTCACTGAATGTGAAATAGGAGAGGCAGAATAGAACACCACTACCTAATATGTCCACCATACAGATAGAATAGATACCAATAACCTTATGAGTATGGATGATAGTAAAATGTAGTAAAAATAATTAAGAAGTGATGAGTTTGAGCATTCATTATCTTTATTTTAATACAATTTAATTGTAAGTTTATATTGTTTATTTATTGAACTCAGGACCTTCCCACTGACCTATATCTCATCCGTTTTTTATTTTGAGATGGGGGTCTCATTAAGGCACTACATTTCCTAGGCTTGGCCTAAACTTGTGATCCTCTTGCCTCAACCTCCCAGAGTGGCTGGGATTACAGGCATGCATCACCATGCCCAGTATGATTTAGTTTGTAATAATGGCTTTGTTGAACATTCAGCTTGAAAAATCCCTTTAAAATTAATCATCAGCTTTCACGAAACAGACCAAGTGAGTTCCAACACACTGTTGCAAAGATCCAGAGAAAGTCATCCTTTTTCATTATGTATGTGTCTTTCCCACTGGTATGACATGAAAGTTTGAAAATCCACCAAGTGAAATTTATTCCTTTAATGTGAATTCTTCCTTTGGTGTAGTAAGAGGAGCAAGGCCAGCAACAGTGACACTTAACTTCTAATCCCAGTCTTACAAGTTAATTGTGTACTCTTGGCCTATGTGGATACCAGGTTCCTAAACTGTAGGATTAAGGGGTTAAGAAAGTGGTGTTCTTAAACGAATTTTTTAGACATGTATCCATGAGTGTAAATGTGTGTTTATAGCTCTAGTAAGGAATAATTAACATGCAACAAACTTAGAACATTTAAGTAGAATTTGACAAATTTTGAGTGAAACCATTACCAAAAATAAAATAACGAGCATATTCAAAGCTCCCAATAGTTTTCTTATGCTTTCTTAGAGTACATCCCTTCAGTCTCCATCCTTGCTCCCAGGTAACCCCTGACTTACTTTCTGTCGCTATAGAATAACTTTTGAACTTTTTAGAATTTTATAAAAATCAAATTCTATATATGGTATGAATCCTTTTTACTACATTGTTTCATTAAGCATATTCATTATGAAATTCATCCATATTGTTCCATCTGTCATTGGTTGTTTTTTATTTGCTGTGTCCCATTCTGTGGATATATAGCACCGTTTATCTCTTCACCTGCGATGGCTATGTGAGTTGCTTCCAAGTACTGAGCATACTAACAAAGCTGCTATGAACATTTATGTATAAGTTTGGTGTAGAAATATGCTCTCATTTCTCTTGGATAAATACCTACAAATGAAGCGGCTTACTAATATGGTATTTAACATTATGAGCAGCTGACAAATTTTATTCCAAATAGGATATATAATTTTACATTCATAATCGATATTTGACATTTCCACCACAGTAATATTTAATGGGATCAATTTTTTAATTGTAGCCATGCTAGTGGCTGTGTGGTGGTATCTCACTGTGGTTTTAAGTTATATTTTCCTAAAGATTAGTTACGTTTAGTGTCTTTTCATATGCATACTTACATGTTTATCTTCTTTGGTGGAGTGTTGTTTCAAATTCTTGTAATTTCAAAAATTGAATTATCTTTTAATTGTAGAATTGTACAGGTTTTTCACATATTCTAAATACAAATTCTTTCAGCTATTTAATTTGAAAACAAAATATTTTCTCCCAGTCTTAGGCCTATATTTTTATCTTCGTAATAGGGCCTTTAAAGAGTAAAAGCTTATTAGTTTTGATGAAGTCAAATTTATTGACTTCTTTCCTTTTACAGTTAATGATTTTATATGTCTTATTAAATATTTTCCAAACCAGGATGACTAAAACTTTCTCCTATTTTCTAATTTTGATCATTTTAGCTCTTATATTTTGGTCTGTAGTCCATCTTGAGTTAATACTTGTATGCAGTGTGAGGTAAGGTTTGAGAGTATTTTTTTTTTTTTTACAAATGACTATACAAATGTTCCAGTACCATGTGCTAAAAAAAAATTATTCCTTCTCAGTAGAATCTATCTTGACACCTATATAAATAAAATCAGTTGTCTACATGTGTGGCTATATTTCTAGGCTCTGTTCTGTTCCATTGTCCCATTGTTCTATGCCTATCTTTCACAATATATTGATTACTATAGTTTTGTAGTAAATCTTGCATCTGGCAGATTTATTCCTTAAATTTCTTCTTATATTTTGAAGCTGCTAAGACAATTCTAGGTTACTGACATTTCCATATATATTTAAGATATATATTTTTGACAGAGGCTGTCAAATTCTACAAAATATTGTCTACTGAGTTTTTGCTTGGGATTCCAACAAGTCTAGAAATGAATGTGGGAAGAATGGACACCTCAATATTGTGCCTTCCTGTCCAGATTTATCTTAGGGTACTTCTCAAGATGGCAGAGTAGTGAGTATCAGCTACTCACCCTCTCCAGAACAAGTGCCAGGAGTCTGGAAAACAATAGCTCAGATTAGTATTTCAAATTCTTGAAATTGTCTCAAGAGGTAAAACTGCTATTTTCAGTGATGTTTGTAGAACTTCCATTCCTGATTATTTGCTGTTAGTATAAACACTCCAATCAATCTTTTATATGCATATTTCATTCTGCAAAACTGTTAAATTCCAGAAGCTTTTTTGCAGATTCCTTAGGACTTTCTACATGCATCATTTGGAAATACTGCAGAGTTTACTCCTCTTTTTTAATCTGTATGTCTTTTCCCCTTATGATAATGACTAGAATATCTAATAGAACATTGAACAGACACGGTGAGAGCAAACATCTCTGTCTTATTCCCAATCTTAGGGAGAAAAAAACTTCTATCTTTCACCAGTAAAAAGGATGTTAGCTATATAACTTTTATTTTTAATAGTTGCTCATTTTCAGAATGAAAAAGCTCTCCCATATTCCTAGTTTACCTTTTTATCAACAAAGATATTAGAATTTGACAGGTGAGGGCCTGGGGATTTAGCTCAGTGGCACAGTATCTGCCTGGCAAGCGCAAGGTTGTGAGTTCAATTCCCAGTACTGGAAAAAAATGAAGAAAAAAAAAAAAAAGAATTTGACAGGTGACTTTTTTCTGCATCTGTTGAGAGAATTATGTTCTTATCCTTTAGTCTATCCAAATGATAAATGATAATAATTTCTATTGCCTCAGCATCCTTGCATCTCTGGGATGAAGCCTAGTAGATCATGGTGCATTATTCCTTTTATATATTGTTGGGCTCAATTTGCTAAAAGTTTAAGTACTTTTGCATCTACCTCCATGAGAAATATTATGTTACAGTTCCATTTTGTCTTTTTCTGGTTTCATTAGTGGGGTAATATTTATCTCAAAGAACAAATTGGGAAATGTTACCTTCTCTTCAATTTTTGAGAAGACTTCATGTAGACTTGGTGTAGACTTCTACCAAATGCTTTAATCGTTTGGTAGAATTCACCAGTGAAATAATTTATGCCTGAAGTTACTTTGCCAAGAAGCTTCTTTTATTTAAGAAAATTTTTTACAAAACAATACAAATGATACAGTTTCAAAACACGAATAGAAATTAACAATGGTTGTTATATTACATATTGTTACTTTCAAACTAGTTGCTCAGATTACAAAATATAGGCATGCAAAATTGACCAAACAATATAAGCACTGATGTTCCTTTCAATGAACTCATAGAAATTAGTAGTATAACTATCTTAGCTATCTTGTGTGTATATATATTTTTATCTGAAATTTAAATTCTAGATATTGGGCTATTCAGGTTTCTGTTTACTTGAGTGAGTTTTGATAGCTTGTGGCTTTTGAGGTAATTGCCCATTCCATCTAATTTATAGAATTTTTGCATAAATTTGTTCACAATATTCCTTTCTTTTTAATGTCTGTAGGATCTGTAGCGGTGGGCTACTCTCACACCTAGTAATATTAAATTGTTTTATTTTCATTTTACCCTAATCAACCTTACTAGAGATTTATGAATTTTATAATCCAGTCTCAAATCTCCTACTAACAAGCCTTGGAACTAGAAGCCATTTACAACTTTTCTGAAGCTCATCTTCCCACATTAGGGGTTCCTGTAAAGTAAATATGTTAACATAAAATATGAATGTAAGGTACTATTGCTGAGAACTTTGAACTAAGGTGCTTCTGCCTATAGCATCCTATTTGGTGGATGGTTTTCTCTAAGAAATCACACTCATAACTGCTTGTTAAAGATGGTACCAAATAGAAAGGGTCTATATGCAGGCTGTTCAGGGTGCTCCTTAGAAACTACCAGTTGATGCCAGGTTTAATCATTTTTAAAGTTTCCAGCTTTCTAAATGTATCTTCATGTAAATGATCCACGTCAATGCTGTGAAAAAGGAAAAGAACACTGAGTAAACTCAAGCCACCAAATGTCTGCAGTAATTTTCTATTGTCAAGTAAAAGGTTTCCACTCAAACTTGCTCCATGGAATTATTCAGTTACTTCATCTATATGGCTGTCTACCTCCTACCCCAGTCTTAGCTCATTTCCTTGAGTTTCAAATGACATGGCTAACTTCTGCTTGGACTCACTTCTAGCCCCCTTGTCTTGTCCAAAGCTCTGTTCTAGTAGTTCATGTGTTCCCTCCTCTTGTAGCTTCAACCTCTGCCTCTTTATGGGTTCCTTTCCCTCAGCCTAAAAATGTATGAGGTCTGATCAAAATATATTATGAATGTTTAAATTTTTAAAACTGTATCACAGTAAGACACACATTGCCGTTAGTCACCCTCAAAACATTTTTCCTTTCTTTGAACACACTTATTCTGCAGTTTTTGCCATTTTCTGAAGTAGTTCTTGAAGTCTATTTTGTGTCTTCACAAGGTGTGATTAGAAAAATACGGCAAATGGTGCTGCCTAGTGCCACTGAGTGAATAGGGAGGTTTATAAAAACATTACAATATGTCCTCATCCACCTTATTCACCACATGTGGCACCACGTGACTTAAGGCTCTTCCTCAAAGACAAAACGACCACGGAAGGTAAATATTTTGAATTGATTTATGACATCGAGGCAGCTGCAATAGTACAACTAAAGATATTCATGAAAGTGGACTTCCAGAACTGCTTCAGAAAGTGACAAGGGTAATGGGATGACTGTGTTTGAAGTGATGGGGAGTATTCTGAGGGAGATTAATAGTAATGTGTCTCTTACTGTAATACATTTTTATATTTAAACATTCATCATATGTTTCGATCACACCATATACCTATCTCAAAACAAGGCAAAAGAAGTAAAAAAAAACAAAAAACCTCTCTACTTCCTCCAGCCCCACAACTCCCACCAGCTATAATTTCACATTTCTTTTTAGAAGCTTCCTAAAAGAGTAACCTTAGCTCTCTTTCTCCACTTCATTATATTCTACCTTTGTAAGACACTACAATATGGTTTCTGGCTTTATAACACTAAAATAGCTCTTAATAAGGTCACTTAGATTCTCTTAATTGCAAAATCTTACAGATATCTTTCAGTACTCATCCTATTGGATCCCTCTGCTTCATTGGCACTATTGTGCATTTCGTTCTTGAAATCCATTTTTTCCTTTAGCTTGCAGTACACCATTCTTTCCTGGTTATCTCCATAGGTTTTTCTTTCCGTATATCTCCTAAAGGTTGGTACTTCCCAGGGTTTATTCCTCATAGAGGTCCCTCCAAGGTTTTTCTCTTCTCACAATTCTTAACAGATATCCACTGTTCAGGTATCATCTCTACTTAAATGATCACTTCTCAGGACATACTACCATATCCAGCTGGCTATGTACTAAAAAGCTTCCCCGAATATCCCTCAAGGACTTCAGTCAATATGAGTGCCCATGATTAAAACCCATCAACTATAAAAGAAAGTACAAGCTCTTCCAAGTATGCAGTACAGCTTGTAATTTTTAATTGAATGTGGGCACGGTGGCACACACCTGTAATGCCAGCACTCTGAATGCTGAGGCAGGAGGATCGCTCCGAGTTTGAGGCCAGCCTGGACTACACAGTGAGTTTAGGGCCAACCTAAACTATATAGCAAGACCTTGTCTCAAAAAAATAATAACAATTTTTAATTGATAAAAGCTAGTTTGTGGCTGGGGATATAGCTCAGCTGCACAGCGCCTGCCTGGCAAGCACGAGGTCCTGAGTTCGATTGCTGGTACAAAAAAAAAAAGCTAATTTGTGTCTAACAAAGTGAAATAAGTGACTTCATCAGGTATATAATTGTAGGGTAAGTGGACATTTAATGCCATAGAAGTAAAAAAAAAAAAAGCTTTAGTTTTTCTGTTTCAGAACTGAGAACTGAAAAAAAAAAAAAAAGAACTGAGAACTGAACCCAGGATTTTTGCACTGAGCTACACCCCCAGCCCTACTTATTTTTATTCAGCAATAAGGTCTAAGTTACTAATTTGCCAGGGCTGGGCTCAAATTTCTGATCCTCCTGCTTCAGCTGAGTACTAGGATTACAAGCACATGCCACTGCACTAGGCTTTCTTTTTATGGTTCTGGGTATTGAATACAGGGCCTTGGCACAATACAGTGATATGCTCAACCACTGAAATACACCTCAGCCCACGAAATCTTTAGGTTATTTTGAGTGACTTAGCAAAATCTGCCTTCTCTCTTACCATACAGAGCTCTTTGCTGGAAGGGCCAATTTTCAGGATCCTCAGAGGTTTTCAGAGTTAAGAGATCAGTTACTCTCAATTTTGTATTTCTAAATTTAGAATGAGTAACATATATGAGGATCAGCCAGGGAGTTTCATCCAAGACCCAGTGCCCAGGAAAGACACACAAAGACCCCTAATATAAAATTACATTAAATGAAGACTTAAGTGGTGTTCTAGCTTAACTCAGGGTCTTGTTTGTGGGCAAGGGAAGGCTTCAACATACACACACACACACACACACACACACACACACACACACCAGTTGCTGATTATGGGACTCTGCTATACTGTCACAAGTGGTGTTTTACAGAATGACTCCATATTTGTATGTAAACTAAGATATCTATAACCTTGGAGCATATGTTTACTGTCACTATAAAGCTAGCAGGGATCCTGGACTAGCCAGGACATCACAACCTAGTCACTCAACTTCTGTTGGACTGTGTACGAACAGTACTCAGGGTGAATACCGTGTAGTAGCAAGAAGCAGCAAAAATGGTACAGTGGTTTTCCATCTAGCTTTGTAATCAAAACTAGTCCTTTTTTTGGAATGGTGGACTCTGTTCTTAGAAAAGTAGGATAAGGAGAGGCCCCCAAGTGTACTACTACTAGTGCTACTATTAGAATATGTGAAAGAGGGTTGACTGAACTCTCAGACTTCAAGTAGGTCTTACTTATCACACATTAGTAAATGAGATCCTGACTACCTTGCCTTCTCAGCACCATTTATGACAATCTATGCCTTGCACTTTATGCTCTGGTGATACCAAGCTTCCTTGAGAGTCTCCACCCATGTCCCTTCACGTACTTTCAACTGTGCTATTTATTGTTTGAGTTCTTTGCTCATGCTATCTCCTAAGCCTGCAGGACCCTTCTCTATCCTTCCTCCATTTCTCCTGTCTACAGTCCTAATTCTTAACTCAGGTGATCCTTCCTGCAAGATACTTTTCCTGACCATCTCAGGCTCAGCTAATTGTATCCTGCCACGGCTCCCTTAATACCTCATGAATGCTCGTCTCACTCTTTAATCAGTTTATGTGCCTGTCTCTATCACTGAGCCCACAGCCCCTGAATAGCATAGACCATGTCTCACATCCTATTCATTCTTGTCTTCACAACACCTGGTGCACCTTCCTGGCACAGGAAGGTGAGCTTTGTCATTCTGAGAACAAAATCTCATTTTCCTAACCTTCAGAATGTCTAGACGTCTAATTTTTATTGAACATACGATTAACTGTCTCCTTGTTTTCCTGTCAGATGCTCTAAATTACTAACTATATGTACTTCCTACATGTACTTCCTAGCACTATGCCAGGAAATTTACAGAGGAAAATATGACAAATAAGATTCAGACCCTGTACTTAAGCAGCTCTTAGAAAAATAAACTTTCTCCAGCTTTTATAATTTCCAGAGAAGACTACTCCTTCTGAAAGACTCACCTGGATTGACTCTTCTCCTGCCCACCACATTAAATGATCTCTATCTTCTACTCACCTTACTTGGGTAAGTATGTATTTCTATTTACTTAAGTTTTGTCTTATGTACACTCTAAATTCACTTGAGGTCAGCAAATTCTGTCTATTCTATGTGTGTACTGTACTTTATTTTGTATTCAAAGCTATTATTGTACATTGCTGTCAACTTGTTGATTAACAATGTATAAAGACTTAAAGGCTGTCATAAAACCAAAACAGTAGTATACTGTTTAAAAGACAAAGTACAAGAGAAATGAGATGGTGCAAGAATACAATAAAAAATAAACAATGGCATGCCATTGCCAATAAATAATTTCTCCCTGTTATTATTTAAAATACCATAGCATACACAGTGTGGGGTACATCACATTAAGACTATTCTACATTTAAGGAAACATTAAGGTTCATAGTTGAGGTAATTTCCTGACAACTGAGCATCCAACCACATCTTTCTGAGGAAGACACCATGAAGGTTCCATTCCCTGAGGCTTGTTGTGCATAACTCCCCCTACTTGGGCAGTAATCACCACACTATGGAGACCTTGCAACTAAATGACTTCATTTCACTAACACAGAGCCAGCTTATGTTTTAGCCAGACTTGTAATCAGGTCTTTATGCTGTTCTCATGTACATTTCTATCTATAAAATTGGCTTTAGAATGTGGAATTTTTATACTCAGCCTTTATTTTCCATTATGTGTTCCACTTCTGAATGCCAAAAACAAATGGTCATTTGGTTAGTTGGCAACAGTTCATATTTGTATTGTAATTAAGGATGACTTTGTGTGTCATGCCAGCTTGCTGAGCTGGCAGATGGTCACTGATCAGAGAGTGTCAAGACCTCCCACTTCTATAATTGCAACATTACAGTTTCATCCCATTGAGTTTTAAAGAGTCTCAAAATGTACACATTATCTACTGCAGCAGGTTTTAAAAGTACAAATAACAAGAGCCTAACATTTATGGAGTACCTCCTATGTGCTAAGAGTTGTACTAGGTACATTCATAATTGTTGTCTAAATTCAATTCCCACGTTAACTTCAGGTAATCAAGTACCAACATTATCCCCATTTTACAGAAAAGGAAGCTGATGTTGAAAGACATTTAGTAAAACGGTTATGCACTAGATATTAGATCTGGTGTAGGGGCCAATCCTAGAAAATCTAGATGCTATGTCTTTATCCTTCTACTATGCTGCTTGCCTTAGCAGTTAAACACAAGGCTTCCTGTTCTCTGCCTCTCTCCTGGCACTGTGTCCAAGGAGGATAGGTCTATTGATAATTTCACTTACTTTACTATTTTGCCTAGGCTTGCCATGCCATCTTTCTCCTCTAGCTTCACTGAAATGTGTTCTCAACAAATCCAACATGCCTGTCCTGACCTCTCTTTTCCAACTTCCTCATCACAGTGACTTACTAGAATGTCTGAAGTTTACATGTTGGATATATCAGTGCATCACACAGCATTTGGACTCCGAAATCCTTGACGTCATTTCCACTTAAGTCTAACAACATTAGGTTCTCATTTCTGTAGAGCACAGAGGCAAGGGCTCGGCAGCACACATCTGTGAGGTCACATTCTGCTAACCTGTAAGGAATCAAAGATTTGAGAAAGAAATCAATTTTATCCCAAGCTCCCTAGTGGCCCTCCCTTTCATATATAAACTGGAACAAAGGCTTACTAAACAGAAGAATCCCATATACTTACCACAAGGTCTGCAGTTTGCAGCAGGGGTATTTTAGCCCTTCACACAGCACCTGCATTCCAACATCCCCTAGGGCATTGTCACTGAGGTCAAGGTCTCTCAGGTGTTCGTTGGTGTAGAGTGCATTGCACAAATCCTGACAACACGCCCCAGTCAGGTGACAGGTCCACAGCCTGCCAGTAAGACAAGTCTGACATCATTTCATCTGTACTGAGTAACTAGAAATTATGTTTTCCCATTAGTAAATGCCCTAGGAAATCAAGGTATCATGTTAAAAAAAATCCCTTGGGTCAGGACTAAGCAGAGATTGTGGAGAACAGATGATTTATTCCCTCTAAATTATCTGGTTCATTATTTACTGCTTCCCTGGAGATTCATTCACCAAGCCAAAAAATATTCATTTAATTTTTGGAGTTGCTGAAATATCAAGAAACTCTTGTGGCTACAGTGCATGATACTCACGCCAGATCTCTTAACTGACAGTCAGGCTGTTTTAATCCTTCACACAGTAATTTCAGTCCCAAATCTCCTATTTTGTTATTAATTAGAAGCAGTCTTGTCAGGGTCCTGGAAGAGCTCAGAATTTGGGCAAGGGACTCACAACAAGTTGCAGAGAGAGAACATTCAGAAAGCCTGCAGGGACAGAGACACCACGATGGCTGTTAACTATGGCAGCAGGAAGTCCCACTGATCCTTAAATTTCAAGGCCCAAGAGATGGACAAGACAAGCAGACACTTACACAAGATTTTCAATTGTGCACTTTGCATGCAGCAGACCTTTGCAGAGATGCTGTACTCCTATGTCCCCCACGACATTGGCAAACACACACAATTCTTTTAAAGTCTGCCTCTCTTTCAGGAAAGAAGAAAGCTCCACACAACTAGCATCTGTGAGGTAACATTTACTCAAGCTACCCAGAGAAAATGAAAAGAAAAATCAGCCTCTGCCATCATTTGTCTTCCTAGGAATATCCTACCACACGCCTGCACCTCCTCCTTTGAGTTCCTGCTCCAGCACACTTCTTTCACAAAATCTCCTGCTGAGGTCTCCAGGCTTTAGCTGATATTTCCAAATGATCCACAGTATTCAGTACACATCGGGGTGTTATTAGGGGCAGTCCTGTCAAAGAACTGGTAACACTACCAATATCTTTTCTTTATGTAGTTAATATTAAGTAATGTCACTCCTGAAAAGAATATGAGATTTGAAGACAGATTTTGGAGTCACATTATGACTATACCACCTATTAGAGATGTAAATTTGAAGAAGTCATTTTTCACCTGACCCTCAGTTTCTTAACCTGTACAGAAGATAAGAAAACTAAACTTGTATGACTACTGTAAGGAGTGAATGAAGTGAATTAACTTCGGGAAGGCACCAAGTACACAGCAGGCACTCAACAAGTTCAATAGTTATGAGATGATGTGAGATAGTTTTTAAGAAACTTACTCTAGTTTTTCCACATGACAGTTGGAATGTCTGAGACCTTCACAGAGATACTTCACCCCTTTGTCCCCCAGAGGATTTTCACTCAGGTCCAACTCAGTGAGGTATGGGTTGCAAATGAGAACAGAGGCAAGATAATTGCAAACAGCCTCTGAGCTTTCTGGGAGAAGGCTGTCACACAACCTGCAGAGAAAGACGTACAGAGACAGAGTTGGCCACTTTAGCATACTACACAGAATACTTCATGAACAAAGAAAATAAAGAGCCATAGAAACAAGACTCCCAGTCTTAAGTCTGTCATAGCATCCTACTCCCCCATGGCAAGGACTTAGAAAATGCTTCCAAAACAATGCACCCCAGAGTGGGAACTCAAGGCTGGCTTCCTGAGAAAATAAAATGGTTGAGAGAAAATATTGATACTCTAATCTTATTTTAAATTCTTGTGTAAATTTAGCACTCTGTATCTCCTTCCAAATCCCAGAGGAAACATTCTATAGCCATTCTTCATAAACTTTACAGTCAAAAGGTCTTTTTTCCCCCTTATCTAAATGTCCACTAGTAATTTTCCATCCTTAGAGAGATCCAGCCCATCCCCATGATTCACACAATATTCCTGTTTTGCAGGGAGGGTATAAAAAGTGGTTTTAGCGACTTCCCTGTCTTCTCAATCTTTATTTCTCCATATTAAATTGTCATATTCCTTGAATCATTTCCCATTTTTCTTCTACCAGTTTCAACCATTTTTAGGTATACGTCATAATTTTTGAATCCCCATTTTTTTCTTGATGAACCATGTTTCAAACTTAGTCTTGAAGAGAATTCATAAGGGATATACTTATATCCCCCCAATTTGGAACTGTTAAATGGAGGTACTTGCACAGAATGAATTCTCAAAGTGGACTTTAGAAAGATTTAATGGTCTGGAGCATTTCCTTTAAAAATTCCCACATGTATATTGTGATGGTTACTTTTACACATCGACTTGGCTAGGCCAGGGTACCCAGATATTTGGCCAAACATTATTCTAGACGGATTTTGAAGGTACATTTTTTTTTTTTTTTTTTGTCTCTTTGAGACAGGGTGTCGCTATGCAGTTCAGGTTGGCCTTGAGCTCACTTTGTAGCACAGGTTGGTCTTGAACTCGCAACAATCCTCTTGCCTCTGCCTCCCAGCACTGGGATTGCAGGCGTAAGCCGCCACAACCAGCTAAAGGTCCTTTTTAGATGAGGTTAGTGTTTTAGTCAGCAGACTGAATAAAGTAATGTGGATATGGCTTGTCTAATCAGTTAAAGGCTTAACAGAAAAAGACTGACCTCTTTAGAAGAGGAAATTCAGCAGCTTTTGGTCTTGAACTACAACCGAGGCTCTCTCCTACATCTCCATTCTGCCAGCCTACCCTGCAGATTCTGGATGTGCCAACATCCATAATCACATAAGCCGATCCCTTTACATCTCTTAATCTCTCTCTCATTCTCTTACTTACTCTCTCTCTCTCTCTGACCTCCTCCTTTGCCTCCCTCCTCCCCTCTTCCCCTCCCTCTCCCTCTGCCCTTCCCTTCCATTTTCTCCCCTCACCTCTCTCTCCTATTGGTTTTTTCTCTGGGGAACTCTAAAAATACATATATGATAAAAAATATTTAATTAAGGTGAATGCCATGGACTTTGAGGTCAGATACATAGGGATTTTGAATTTGTGCCTTTGTCATATTTTTTAGCCTAGTCATGTTGAGCTTCCATTTCCTCCTCTGCTCAAATACAGATGATAATCTGGACCTCCCAGAGATGTTTTGCAGACTAAAGGAAATAGTATACACAAAGCACTCAAACATTCAACACAATGCTTAGTACAAAGTAATTGTTCAGTAAGTATGAGTTATAACTGTCACTGATAATACTGCCACTTAAAAGTTCTTTTCCTAAGCTTGCTAAATAGTAACAATTTCAGGGACTGCCACTTTTGTTTGTTTGTTTTTACAGTCAATAATTTTGGGGGTTTTTTCCTGCCTATTTATTTTTTTATTTTTTAAAGATAATAAGAAAAAGTAGAAACAATACAGAATTTCACTAAACAAGATAGAAATTCAACAATGGTTGTTGTATTGCATATTGTTGTCTTCAAATTAGTTGTTCATATTACCAGATAAAATCATGACAAATTGGTCAAAAATTTTTTTAAAATTAAGCATAGCCGGGAAAATTGTACTGCTGATTTCTATTGGTTTATTGAAAGGAACTGTTTGGGAAGTTTTTGAGATAGGATCTTGGTATGTAGTTCAGGCTGGCCTTGAACTCACTATGTAGCCCAGGCTGGCCTCAAACTCACAGGGATCCTCCTGACTCAGCCTCCCGAGTTCTGGGATTACAGGCATGCACCACCATGCCTGGCCCAGGACTGCCACTTTTATTCTTATTCTTATTCTTCTCCATGACTCCTTGAGCTGTGTTTTGATCACACGATATCCATCTTGAAGTATCTATTTTTAAAATATTCCTACAGAATGGAAACTAACAGTTACAACTTACTTGAGCCTCTGTAATTTGCAACCTGGGTCTTTTAAGCCTTCACAGAGCAATTTCAAAGCTGAAGCTTCCAGTTTTGTTTCAGTGAATTCCAGGTCAGTGAGCCACTGACTGGTGCTAAGAACAGCAGCTAGTGCCCCACAAGAAGCAGGTGAGATAAGGCATCGGTTCAACCTTTAGAAAACAGAAGTACTTCATTACCTTATTCATGCCCCCCAGAAGCACAAACTGACTGAAAATGGTATGACTACAAACAACAAGTTGCCCTTCTATCAGTTACCTCAATGCCTGTAGTATACAATTTGGTTGTTTCAGTCCTTCACACAGTTGCTTCACTCCTGAATCTTCCAGGGTACTTTTCACAAATTCTAAATCTGTCAGAGAGTGGTTGGTTTCAAATACTGAAGAGAGATCCCTACCACAAGAAGCTGTGAGGTGGCAAAAAATCAACCTGTGTAAAGAAAAGGACACTTAAGAAAAGAAAGGAAATACAGTTTTCTTTAAAGGTACTTATTTGTATCTTACTGATGTGATGAATTCTTTTAATTCACTCAAAGACTAATTTATTGGGTGGCTACTACTGTGTTAGGTGCTCAAAACACAGAGCTAATTTAAGACGTACACTATGCCCTCAAAGAATGCACAGGTAGTGGGAAAAAACTAGGAAATTACAGATCATAATACAGTGTGAAAAATACTGGAAGAAGTATGCACAAAGTATTTTGGGGGGATACAGAAAGGTTTTACAAATCAGTCCAACTTGAAGTGGGTTTGGAATGTCAAGAAATATCTACAAGAGGAAGAAATGCTTGAGCGCCTATGGAAATAAAATAAGAGGTGGATAAGAACAGGAATGGAGAGAGTACAAAGATCTGAGAGAAATCCATGCATGAAGCAACCTGTGTAAAGGCAAGAAAGCAAAAGGGTAGATGGCTCACTTGAGAAACTGCAAATTATTCGCTATGGCCTATTTTAAAAGACTGGTTCTGTCCCAGCTGAGGGGAAGAGTGGGATCATAGAAAGATATGTGCTTTCCAGGAATTTAAAATCATTTACAATGATCATATGTTATTGGGAAAAGCTTTCTTTTAATTTGGGAAAGACAATACATGCTTATTCCAAAAGAATTTTCACACTAGGGAAAAATAAAAATAAGGCCCCTGTCTTGGTTACTTTTTTCTCGTTGCTGAGACAAAATACCCAACGCCCAAAATGAAGGAAGGAAAGGTTTATTTAGCTTACAGTTTGTGGAGGTTTCAGTCCATACTTGGCTGGCTCCGAGGCAAAAGGTAGCAAAGCAACAAGAGCAAAGAGGAATGGCAGCCAAACAGCAAACAGCCAGAGCAAACTCGGAGGAATGGCGGCAAGCAGCTTCTTTTTCCCTGCCTTACTTTGTAAACAGGCTACCCCCACCTAAGGGGCGTGTAGCTCTCACATAATCTCCATGCCCTCCTCTTCCACAGGCTCAGGATGTATACAAAGTAAGTATCCTGGCTTCCTGCTGAGTCACTTAGCCAAACCTCTAGACTCCCCAAGTTGACACAATGTTTCAACCATAACAGCCCCCAAAGTGGCTATCTTATCACCAAAGATAATCACTATGAAAATGTTGGACTATAAGGTTCAGATCTTTAATGCACGTATACATATAGTTTTAGGTTCTTTATGACAAATGAAATTAGAGAAAGATGTATTTCTTAAACAGTTTTTAAAAAATAACTGTCTTTCCAGATGCAGTAGCACACACTTATAATTCCAGCTACTGAAGAAGCTAAGCTAGAGGACCTGAAGTTCAAGGTCATCCTGGGAAATTTAGCTAGACTTAAAAAGGGGGGCACTGGGGGTGTAGCTCAGTGGCAGGTCACTTGCCTAGCTTGTGCACCCCGTATTCAATCCCCAGTACCACCAAAATAAACAAAAAGCCAACAATTTTTACATGTACCAACTCCCCATGATTAATGTAATCATTATGTACTGCAAGCATGTAGTAATAAAAATTAAAATTTTAAAAAACAAACAAAACAAAAAACCTTTTTCCTAATGTCCCATTCAACCTCACCTTCCAGGGATAAATACTGTTTAGTGTGGTTTATATCCTTCCTCACTCTAACTCTCCACGGTTATAGAAGCACATGCAAATATTTGTGCATATGATTTATTTGTGCATTTTACAAAAATCAGATCACAAAAAGCATTACTGCTTCAATTTACACACACTTTTGTCATTTGCTCCTCTTCACAGGCCAGTAGGTAGAAACTAAAATTCAGTTACAGTACAATGCCATACAATAAGTGGCAAAACAGGGCTCAACCTATGATCTGTGTTTCATCCTACAGGCCTCACAAAGTCATTGAAGGTATTAGGAGATATAATCAGATTCCTCTGGAGACAGGGCAGAACAAGAGAATGACCTGATATCAGAGATCTGCAGCGATAGAAAGAAGACATGAGGAGTAAATGAGGATGGGAGGGAGGAAGTAAACAAATTCAAAACATATTTTGGGGATGGAATCGATGATTTATCATTTAGGTTGACTGCAGTGTCCAGTCAAGGGGCCAACGGGGGATAGAGCTGTTCCCTGGCTACACCCTCTTCCTTCAATGGCTACTGGAAGTCACTGAAAAGGTTAGAACTGCTTCCTGTTCTAGAACTCCTTCCAATTCTATCTATAGGAGGAGTGCTGAGGGCATGGAACAAACCATTACAGTGGGAGTGGAACTTGTTGACTTGCTTCCAAGAGCTTCATTTTCTAGGTTCTGAGTCTTTTCTGACCACTCCCATTTCTTCCTACCTTCCAGGGCTTTTACCCATGTGGTGGGTTCCTTTATGTCCCAGGAGACAGAAGGACCTTCCTCTCACACTCCCTCCCACCCCTGTACTCTCTGTACAGTTGGAACAGTCCTAGAGTAAAAAATCTAGACAGTTGGCCTCACAACTTCCTTTCCTTGGTGACCTGAGAAGGGGAAAGACCCTCCTGGCCCTGGCCCTGGTAGGCAGGGGTGGTCAGCCTGTATCTCTTCTGGGTGCTGGCTAGAGAGTTAAGGTCTCCTTGGGAAGTGTCCTAAGGTGGGGGAAAGCCTGGCTAGAGAGTCATTCTGAGGGTCAAGATTGGGGACAGGGGGTAGGAGGAGGCAGAGGCGGGAGAGGAGGGCCTAAGAGGGAGGGAAGGGACAACAGGTTGATCTATCCCAACAGGGCCAGCAAAGCCACTAAGGCCCTTAACCATCATGGCCTTGAAACCCGAGGACCCCTGTACTGGGTTCCGGCATGGCACAGTGGTAGACTTCATCAACAAGAAGATGGCCAGGCACGCGAAAGGCCCCGAGTTCTACCGTGAAAATCTGTCTCTGTCCTGGGAGGAGATAGAGGACAAGATCAAGGCCATTCTGGAAGACAGCGAGGTGCCCAGTGATGCTCAAGAGGCCTGTACCTGGGGCAGCCTGGCCCTGGGCATGCGTGTAGCTCGAAGGCAGGGGCACTTACAGGGGCGCAGGGTGCAGTGGTTGCACGACTTTGCCAAACTGCACAAGTCAGCCACTCAAGCCTTGGCCTCGGATCTGAAGCAGCTTACAGAACAGCAGGAGTTGGAGCGCAAGGAGGCTGCCTTCAAGCTGCAACTGGTCCATGCCAAACTGGCCCAGGTGCAGAAAGAGAGGGACCTGCTGAGATGGAAGCTTGTGCAGGCGGTAAGATAATCCCCCCGGGCCCCACTCCAGCCCTACACCTGTACCCTCACCGGGCCCCCACCCCCAGGATGTGTCTCATCTCGCCCACTTCTCTTCAGGAGCTGAGGGCGCTCCCAGGGCCAGCTGTGGAGGAACCAGACGCGGCTGCTGTCCCGGAGGTGGAGATACCAGGAGCAGGTGAGAAGCAGGAGGAGGCAGAGGCTGAAGCTAGTGCCATGGGTGGAGGAAGAAAAGGAGAAGAGATGAATGTGATCAGTGCAGCCTCAGAGGAGGCCACACAGGAGCTAAGTGAAAGCCTCCTGCAGCTTCTTGAGGCTGTCCAGCAGAAAAATTACACCTCTGGCAGAGAGAGAGAGGGCGATGTTGGGCCTGTAGAAACAGCCACGCTTTATCTCTCTGGGACTCTGCAGGCCACGTCCACAGCCTCACCGGGACCCCTTCCTGTCCAGCTCCCTGCCTCTTTCACATACAGCTACTCAAGCCCTTTGTCCTGTTTCCCAGCTGCATCCACCTCATCCCCACTAGCAGCCACGAGCACAGCACCTGTTCCACCTCAGCTGCCCCCTCACTGCTCAGCCTCTGATTTTAGCTTGGGGTCTGATGTGTGGGCTCAAGGAGTAGACCCTCCAGAACACCAGAAAAGGAAGAGAGACTCCGAACTCCATCAGCAGAGAAAACATCCAGCGCATCGCAAACCTGGGGTTTGGAACTGCCCTTGGTGTAAGGCCGTGAATTTTTCACGAAGGGAAAACTGCTTCCGCTGTAGGAGGGGAATCTGGCTGCAAAGCCCTTAGTAAAACCAGGAACATGCAATAAAACACTGCAGTGGGAAGTCTGTTTTCAGAGGCAAGAGCCTGCATGGAGTGTGGGGTAAGGGTGGGAATATGGGGCCAAGGAGGTCACAGGGTTGGGTGGGAGCTGGAGTGGATGTAGCTGGCGGGGAGAGAGACACGTTTTGATGATGATCCCTTTTGTATTCCACGCAGCACCCCAGAACTGCTGCAGCCTCCTCTATGTGTGTGCACGGATGTCTCCCCATCCTAGTGTCTGGTGGACCTAAAAGCTACATTTACAAACCCTCCTACACTCTGCTACCATGCCTAGGCCTCAGATGATGGGAGCAGGAGTGGGCATTTGACCCATCCTGAGCCACACAGATTCTCAGGCTAGAGAATGGGAACAAAAGGCAGATTCCGTACTCAGAACGGGGGGTGGGGGCAGGGATATAGCTCAGTGGCACAAGCACCTGCCTGGCAAGTGCAAGTTCCTGAGTTTGATTCCTGGTCCTGGCCCCCACCCATACTCAGAATGGGATTAGGCAGTGAAGTAGTCGGTTGCTTGGAGTTGGGGCTCGGATCACAGACACAAACACTGAGGCCTAGCTCTGACTGTGGGGGAGCAGAACCAGGTACTTTACAGTGGGTGTCTTTTATGGGATACCAGTACAGTGTAAGACCCGGGGAACACAAAGGCATAAAAGAGTAGAAGAGTTAATACAGTAGCTCCAGAGAGCTATGGAGAGTGATGGTGACTCAACTACTTTTCCTTTTCTGCAATTTTACTATATGAACATCCACTTTACCCAGATCCCCTTTTCTTATGCTAATTTGAATGCATTCCTGCTGTGGGTAACCAGATCATTTCCAAGCTAGAAACTGGCACCAGGAGAGCAATTTCAAACAACAGATAATCAAAGAAAGGGTTGGAATTGGCTGGGGATTTACATCAGGGTTTAGCAAGTAGTAGGGATTCTTGTATCCCAATAGTCCCCAGGAGGGGCTGGGGATTTAGCTCAGCGGCAAAAGCGCCTGCCTGGCAAGCGCAAGGTCGTGAGTTCAGTTCCCGGTACCGGAGAAAAACCAAAAAAAAAAAAAAAAGAAAAAAAAAATAGTCCCCAGGAGTGAATTGAATAGGAGGCTCCTGTTGGGAGTTATGTCACAAGAAACAAAACAGGCTCATGGTTACAGGTCTGGGGTTAACTTCAGTTTGTTTATGCTTGACTCAAATTAACATGCAGAGATTTGCCACCCTTAAGGCAAGCCCACAGGGCTGCATATAGAGAATGCCAGCACCAGCGACAGGCTATCCAGCCTCATAAGGTGAATCTTCCCCAGTTCCCACTGGGCAGAACCAGGGACAGTCAGATCTGAACAAAGAACTCACACCACTGTCCAGGAGGTGAGTCAGCAACCGACAGTACCCAGAAGGTTTGCTGGTCCAGACCAAAGGCCAAAGCACAGTGCTGTCTTTCAACAACACACCACCATGATCAGTATGGAAGGGGAGTCTTTGTGAATTCAGATGTCTGAAATTGCATACAAACATATGACAGTAGAAAATTATTTCAGAGGGGGTGGGTGGGGGTAAGTGGGATAAAGGGGTTGGTGGAAGGTTGAATTGCTTCTCCCCCTCTGATGACTACAAGTTGTACAATATGTCCTTGAACCCCCAGATGAAAGGAAGGGGAGCAATTGCACCTGAACCAGACTGCGACACAACCAAGGGAGCCCTGGACATCGCCTAGAGACTGTGGACTTAGAGACTAAGAAGCTGTCATGTCCCTGGAACATCTCTGTAGCAGCAGAGGTGTAACTCTGAATTGCCTCCTGTTGGAGGATGGTATACACAATCACCATTAGTATTGGGGGCCAGGTCTCTCTCCAGACTACACTTTTCTGTAATATCTTTGGGCTTCTTTATCTCTTATTTTGCTTTAGGACAGGATTTCTTCAACCTGGGTGTTCTTGACATTTGGAGTTGGATTATTTTTGTTGCTGAGGGCTATGTCAAGGACACTGTAGGACATTTACCAGAATCCCTAGCCTCTGCACACTAGACGCCAGTGGCACCCCCCGACACACACACACTCAGTTATGACAAACAAAAATGTCTCTGGATATTGCAAGATGTCCACTAGGGGGCAAAACACTCCCATTTGGGAATGGTGGAGGCAGTGAAGTACTCAGGAACAGTAAGGAGCCCTGAAAGGTAGGAGTTGAAAAATGTCCTCTGGGTCTGGCATTTGTTTTGGATCTTCTTCCAGCAAGTTCATAAGAATGATATGGTAGGAGCCAAACTACAAGACTGAAAAGTGTGTGGGAAGTGAGGAAGTGGAATCAATGAAGGGAAGCTCTTTTCAAGGACAAAGGCTGGCTGTGAAAGGATAAATTCATATAGGACACATGGTTGAGAGCTTTTTGAGACATGGAGAAGGCGATGGAAGAAGAAAGCTTCACAATACAAGCAATGTGAAAGCTAGATGTAGTGGTTTATGCCTACAATCCTAGCACTTAGGAGGCTGAAGCAGGAGGAGCTCTGTGAGTTCTAGGCCAGCCTGGGCTACATAGTTGGTTCAAGACCAACCTAGACTACACATTAAAACCCTGTCTCAAAAACTAAATAAGCAAACTAACCAAAAAAACAAAGAAAAGTGGAAAAAATGAGATTGATCCTGCATACTGTACTGGAGGCATGGCCAATGTATTGTTAAATAAATAAAATTATATGACAGAGTCACTTTTATGTAAAACAAGACCCCCCCAAGTTTTCTAAGTGTTTGCTATATATACTTAAAGATTTATGTTTGCCTTATGTTACAAATATAGACTTATGTAAGAATAGGAAAAGGTCTAGAAAGACATTTAGCAAACAAAGTATTAGCTAGGGAAGGTGGGCTCATAGGGTAAGGGCATGGAAGGCAGGAGGGTGTTCCAGATATCGGCTGTGACAGAATACAGGGCAGTTCAGTGAAGTACTTTTTCTTTATATACTTCCATGTTGTGAAAGTAAAGTAATCAGATGCTCACAAAAATAAAAGAACACAAATTGACTTCAGTGGATTCGAAAAGATCATTTCTTTTTCTGAGATGGGAGGAGAGAAAGAGCAATGATTAGTATGACAAAGGGGTAAACAAACCAAGGGGACTCTTGCTTATGTGCCTGTGATGTGGACAAAGTACCTGGACATGAGTGAGGATGCAAAGATGGGGCAGGGGTGGGGACTTCCCTCAGCATTTTGAGGAATGACTGGGGGTACGGGTGGGGAATGAAAATACAGAAAAGAACATCAAGGTGCATGGAGTAGGACAGAGACCAACTGAAAGAGAACTAAGGAAAAGGATGGTAGGAATCTGGTAGGAAGAAGAAGAGGGGCAGATCCAAGGGTGCACCAGACACAAATCTTTCAGGTGTTAACAATCTGTCACCCACTCATTACAGAAGAAACCGAACATACAAAAGAGAGAACAGCAGGAAGGATGGGCAGACATTTGTCACTGACTTTATCTTTCACATCCTAAATCTGAAGTACCTTTTCATTTGCTGTTTTGCTGTGGATAGACTGAACACAAGTTAAGATTTTGTTTTCAGGTCCAATTAGCTAGGAGTATAATTTATAGCAATTCAGTCTTTTCCTGCAAATGCCTTAGAGTTTAAAGCAAAGTTCAACTTACTTCAAATCTTTGATTTTACAGTATGGATTACATAGTGCTTGACGGAGCAAGTGTAGCCGAGATACCGGCAAACTGCACAGCTGAAAGGACCTAAAAAAGATAAGAAACAAAACAATGCAAAACTTTAAACAAAAGACTTATTTGGGTTTCTTTCTCCATGCTAGTATTAATTTACTCCTTATAAAACCTTATGAGGTACTGTCCCATTTTGCAGGTAAGGAAATTAAGGCAAAAAGTAATTTTCTCAAAGTCACACAGATAGGCACAGAACTGAAGTCATTACCTCAAGGCCATACAATTACGTGCCAGGCACCAAAATAAGCACTTATCTGGTCCCTAACCCAATGACAAGTCTTGTAATCACCATTTTGCAGATGCTCTAAAGAGGTCAACCGACTTGCCCAAGCTACCTAACCAATAACTGATTATTGGGTGTCAGTACTAATAGAAGAATCGATTATAGTCATCAAAAACCAGAAAAAGTTCAATAGTAAGCTCTAACCTAACATACTTAGAAAAGGAATATTTTGAATTAAATTTATGCAAAGCATTTAAGCCTTCTGATAAAGGCGATAAAGGTTGGCTGACTTTCTGGGAATCCAGAGTTAACCAGAAACCGCTTTTGTTTTTATCAACTGTTTAAATTTGTCAAATATATTAGTTAACTATTTTACTTTATAATATACAACTTGATTGGAATTGTCACTAATTCAAGTCCTTGTAGCCAAGGTTCTTTATAAATCTTAGCCAATTTAACCTTTTCTTCCCAGTTCCCCTCTAATCACAAGCTATACCTCCTGCCCCTTTCTCCCACCCCTATTTCCCTCAAACACAGATACTCCATGCTCATCTCTACCTCTAAGCTATTGTGCACTGAGGAAATACAACTATCAGAGATGAGACTTTGGTTAACATACTCCTGAAGTACAGCCTTCTGCTCACTCTTTCCTCAAAGTCCCCTACCACTCAGTTGGTCCCACAACTAAAGGACAGGCATTGTGCATCTTAACTCAATATTGAGAAGAGATAGGTATAAGCCCTGTTTGCTGCTGTCTTGGTTCCTTTCTCATTGCTGAGACAAAATACCCAGCACCCACAAGCAAAAAGAGAAAAAGTTTACTTTGGCTCACAGTTTGTAGTGGTTTCAGTCCATAGCCGGCTGGCTCCAAGGTAGGACAGCAAGACAGAGAAGGAACAGTTCATGCATGGCAGGCAGGAGGCAGCAGCCTTCCTTCTGCTTTCCCTTTTATTCCATCCAGGTTACAAGCCCATTGAATGGTGCCACACACACCGTGGGTGGGTCTTCCCTCTTCAGCAAATCCATCACCCACACCCAGAAATATGCTAAACCAATCAGTATCACACTTATGATCCAGTCACTCCCAAAAGCCTCACCTGTTAAGTGCATGAGGTTTTAGGGAAACAACTAAATATAAGCCATAACACTGCTTTAATCAGTAAGTCTACAGAATTTTATTTTATAGTGTGAAGAGTCCATATTTTAAAAGTGGTTTATTCTGAATGTGAATAAACAGTTTTCCCAGCACTCTTCGTTAAAGAGGCTGTCTTTTCTCTAGCATTTGTTTTTAGCCTCTTTGTCGAAGATCAGGTTGCTAAAAGTGTATGAGGCTTTTTCTGTGTCATCTATTCTATTTCACTGGTCTCCATATCTATTTTTTGGGCCAGTAACATGATGTCTACTAGAAGATACAATAGGTAAAACTCTTGAAGACATAGGCATAGGCAAGGACTTTCTGAACAGAACCCCAATTGCACAAGAAATAATACTAAAAATCAGGCCGGGGATATAGCTCAGCAGCATAAGCACCTGCCTGGCAAGTGTAAGGTCCTGAGTTTGATTCCCAGTACCAAAAAAAAACAAAAAAAAAAAAAACCCAAAAATCAACAAATGGAATTATATAAAATTACACAGCATTGCACAGCAAAAGAAAAATCAACAAAGTGAAGAAGCAACCTACAGAATGGGAAAAAAAATTTTGCCAGTTAGTCCTTAGACAGAGGGCTAACATCTAGAAAATATAAAGAACTAAAAAAATTAGACTTCCCCAAAATAAAGACCCCACCAAAAATTGGGCAGGTGAAATGAGTAAACACTTCTCAAAAGAAGCAGTACAAAGGGCTAGTAAGTACACGAAAAAATGTTCAGTGTCTTTGGCCATTAGAGAAATGCAAATCAAAATATCACCAAGATTCTATCTTACCCTGGTAAGAATGGCTATCATCAAGGACTCAAAAAACAAATACTTGGAAGGTTTTGGGGAAAAAGAACCCTTCTACATTGTTGGTGGGAATGTAAACTACTAAAACCACTGTGAAAAGTAGTATGGAGATTCCTAAAAAACTAAGAATAGAAATTCCGTTTGACGCAGCTATACCTCTCCTAGGTATCTTCTCAAAAGTCATCATACTACAGTAATATACGCATACTCACATTTACTGCAACATAATTCATAATACTTAAATCATAGAAGCAGCCTTGATGAATGCATAAAGAAAATGGGGTGTATATACACAATGAAGTACTACTCAGCCATAAAGGATAAATTTGATTCATTCTTCAGAGACATTGACAGGTGACTATGACTGCTTTTTACACAGAATGACATAGCCAGAATGTCCATTTTCGTATAGGTGGGAAAATGGATGGATCTTGAGACTATAATGCTAAGTGAAATAAATCAAACACAGAAGGTTAAATACAGCATGGTTTCTCTTATATGAGAAACCCAAAATACAAATAATTCAAAGAGCAAAAAAGGAGTGATCACAGCAAACATAAAGTAGACTCTCTGCAGATAGGAAGGGGATCAGAGAAACGGGAGAGAAGCAAAGGTAGGAAGATAGTCAAAATGATCAAAATTTAATATGCATATGTATAGTGGTACCTTGGCTAACAAACTTAATTTGTTCTACAATTTTGGAAAAAAGAGCCTACTTTGTGTTTGTGTAGGAAAGATGGCCATGGTCAGGTGGTCACTTGATGCAGAGTTTGCAAACAAAAACAAAATTTTGTGAACCATTTTTGTTTGTGAACCAAACTGTTTGCAAACAAAAGCAGTCACGAAGCAGGGTACCACTGTACTAATTCCCTAAAACAAATATAATTATTACATATGAATAAAAATAAGCTTATAAAATAGAAGTGGTTTACTGCTCTTTGAACTTCATCTTTCTACCCTCTGTGAAGGTCTAGTGGGCTTTACAAACGTATAGCTCTGCCCCTTACTAACCTGGAGCTCTTTGAGGTCTCAGTGATGAAATATATGTAAAGAAGAATAACAACCAACTTAATAATAGGTTTACAACCTTCTGCAGAATGGCCATCTACACCAAAGAGCAGAATCTTTAATTATAATATTGATGACTAAATGCTCGTAACACTTTGTAATTATAAAGCATATCTACAGAATGACAATGAAGACTACTACTACTGCATGTACACTGGTGTGTGCACATACACACACACACACACACTCATGGTGACTAGTACAGTGCCTGGCATATAGTAAGTGCTCAAAAATGTTAGTTTTCCATCAGTGTCTACCTAGAACAGAGTTCAATGCATGTTTGATAATCAATAAATCCTTACTCTATTGATTTACATAAAATATGAAAAACAGAGATAACTGTATTTATTCACAGTGCTAGAAATGATCATATGCCTAAATACATAAATAAATAGGCCCACTGTCCGTGAAAGCAAAAAATCCTGAAGAAAGCATAAATATACTCACTGAGAAATTGTTAATGTTGGTGGCATGAATACTGAGTCATCTTCTTCCTCAAATCCAAGTAGATGCTGACACTTCAGAGACACTGACAGGTGACTATTACTGCTTTTTACACAGAATGACATAGCTAGAAGGTCCATTTTGGTATAGGTAGGTTGAAGGAACATAATTGACTGTAAATTATCAATTATCTTTTCTGCATATTCCTCTTCCTGCATCTCATATAAACAGTGAAACAAGTCCACTGACTCAATCTGTAACCTAGAAGACTCATCCTTTATTTCTCCCTCAGTCCATTTCAATAACTCTCCCCTAAGTCCTTGAGAGACTTTTCGTCCAAAAGTAGTTTCCAAAGTTTTTTCTTTTCCTTTATGTAAGAGGCCAAATAAAAATTGTATCATTAGTGATGAAAAGCCTTTTCCGTATTGTTGGAATATTTCTCGCCATATTTTCCCCATATGATCACAAAACAAACAGTTATTGTCATTCTTCAGGGCATAGAACACAGCAGTCAAGAACTCTTGGAAACTGAAATGAAGGAAAGTGTAGATATTATCACATCCTTCAGCTTTTTTCAAAAAGTGAGTGAGAAATGGGCCATTGATATCATAAACTCCTACTCCATGTCTTCTGAGGTCACTGACAGTGAACAGAACCTGATGCTTCTGCAGTCCCTCTGCAGCCAAACAGCAAAGACCCCACAGGCAACTTTGTCCCTTCCACACTGAGATGCCTTTAAGGCTTTTGAGACATTTAGAAAAGTAGAACAGATACATGTCAGTCAAGGTCTGAAGAGATCTCAAAAGACGACTATCACCATCTCCCTGTGACTGTAGGACACTGCATAACATCCAGGAGACTAAAGGAAGAGAAGATAAAATGTCACTGCCTTCACTTTCTCGCAAACCATAGAAGGCTTCCATTGCTGCATTAGGATCTAAAAACTGACTCAAGAAATATGCTCTCTTTTCAGCATCTGTAAACCATAGGATCTCTGCCTGGATAGGCTGTTTTAACAGAGAGTGGAGCTTCCTCATGGCTGTAAACCGGGCAGTTATCAACAGAGAGGATTCAGGGAATAGTTTTTTCCTCACAAAACTGCATAGGAGTGTCTCTACAGGCTTTCTCTCCCAGGGGTTAGCACTAAGACCCCCTTGCTGGTCACACACAGGATACTGCAGCTCAGGAAATCCATCAAGAATGAATAGAAGCTTCTCTGGACATGTAAGGATAATGTCCAGTTTTGGTCCATTTATATCCTGAAAAGCACTACTGATCAGGTCAGCAGCACTAAGCATAACAGTATGACTTATTTCTCTGCAGTTGACATAGATGAGAAAGTCAAATCTGCCTGGAGTGACCATTCCTGATGCCCAGTCAAACATAAACTTGTGTACCAAAGCTGTTTTCCCAGTCCCTGGATAGCCTTGAAGCACCACAGTTCTGGATGAGCTGGAGCCCTCTTCATTAGGATCAAATACATGTTCAATCTCTAAAAAATGATCTTGTTGAGGGACTCCATATGGTGTCTTTTCTGATACAGCATGCTCTTTTACAAGAAGCATTCGTGACTTGATATGCTTGCAATGGTGATAACATTTATCAACTCCAATTGTTAGATATTTTTCTCGTAGATGTTTCTTGTATAATTCCCTGTAATCTAAAGAAGTGACACCAAGAGTTAGTAATAATAGAATCCTAAACAATAATGCAAACAACAATGACTAATACCACCATCACCATCTCTACATAGACGCCTCAAAGGTGCCTCAAGGTTTGCATTTCTAAATCTGACCTCTTGATTTCAATATCCCCTTTATTCTCCAAAACAATCTTCTCTAGGCATCTCTAATCTCAGTTAAGTGGTGTCATCCAGTTGCTCAGAAAAATGTCAGGAGTCCTTTTTTTGCCCTTTCAATTCTCTACATCAATCAATTAATAAGGCCTATAATTTATACCTCAAAATTAAGCCTCAAATTCATTTATTTATCAGTATGTTCTCAATATCACCAAAGTCCAAGGCACTTAGAGCTTTTTCCTGGACTGCTGAAATAGCCCCCTACTTGCCTACCCTTGTCCATCCACTCCCAGGGGCCACTGTGAATTTCTACAACTATCAACTATATCCTATCATCGTCATGTCTAAAATCCCTCAAGAGCTTTTCATTGCATTTGGTACAAAATCCACAATCTTGACCTCATCCTTCAGGGTGTTCTATGATCTGATCCTACCTAGCCCCCTCTCCAGCTTCACTCTGCATCATTCTCCTCCTCACTCCCTCTATTAAGGCCACAATGGCCTTCTCTCAGTTTCTCAACAGCTCAATGTTCTCCCTACTTCTGAGCCTTTGGACTAGCTATTTATTCTCTCTCTACTTGGAACATTCTTCCCCCTGTTCTTCTCATGGAGAGCTCCTTCTCATCCTTCCATCTCCACTTATTATTTCCTAAAAAAATGATTTGCTTGACTATGTACTTAAAACAAATCCTCTCTGTTATTCCTCTTCCCAGCACCCTGATTTTCCCTTTATAGAACTTGTCAGAACTTACAGCTGTCATATTTGTTTGTTCATTTTTTGTAGTATTGGGAATTGAATTTAGGACCTTGCACATGATAAGCAAATGCTGAACTTCTGAACTATATCCCCAGTGTGTTTATTTTTTAATTGTTTGTCATTCCCACTAAACAATATATGATGACAGAGGGCTTATCTGTGTTTTTCACCACAGTACCCTGAGTACCTAGCATGGTGCCCAGTACATCATAGGCACTTAGTAAATATTTATTGAATATGGATATAAATACTTCTGAAATAAAAACAAGTCATTCATTATTGCATATTCTGTACTAGACACTGTAACAGGCCTTTTACGTGTACTTTTAGTTTCTCATAATAATCCCATGAGGTAGGTATTATCCTATTTGACAACTGAGGAAATTCAAACATATATCCAAGCTGGCTTCATGAGTATGCAATCTGTACAGTCATACAGCCCTCTGCTTAAAAGAATCTATGTATGGTTTAATGCTCTGCTGTTTTAAAATTCTTAATATTTGAACAAGTGGCCCTGAACTTTTATTTTGTAATAAACCCTGCAAATTACAAAGCCTGTCCTGACTATGACATTTGGTAACACATCCAATTCTAGTAAGTGGGAGAGCTTTAATTCACATTCAGGTTTGTCTGAGATCTGTGTGCTTAAACGCTATAATGTACTAAGTAGCATTTCATCTGCAAGTAAAAAAAAATAAGTCAAGGAATCAGTCATAAGTTTAAACTTCTGTTAAATGAATGTCTAAGCCAGAACTTTCAGAGTCAGTGTTCCTTAGAATACTGTTCTGCAAGACACTGATAAAACAGCTGTAAAAAAAGGTGTTCTATGGTCAAATAAATCAAGGGGAATGCATCCTTTGCTGCCTTGGAGTTTCTCAATGCATATTACCGTACCAAAGGCTTCTTTACTTTCCTACAATAAAAATAGGATATTTAATTTTGTTTAGTCCAATATTTTTTGGTCTTAAATTACTATAGAACCCCTTTCTAACACCGAAGTTATTGACTGTTGGAAAGCAGTGATCAACCAAGCTCAGTTCAGGGAATGCGGAACTAGGTAAGAGTCAGCAAACATTTCTGTAAAATTTCATAAACAGATTGGGCTTTTGAGGCTTTGTTCCAATTATTCAACTTGGCGATCTCTGCATGGCAGCAGCCATAGATAATATGTAAATGAATAGTTGCTTTTCAGTAAAACTTTATTTCTAAGAACAGGCAACAGACTAGATTTGGCCCACTGGTTACAGTTTTAGATAACTAAAAAAGCTAGGTGTCATGATGTACACCTGTAATCTTAGCTACTCAGGACAATGAGGCAGGAGGATTGCAAATTCAAGGCTAGCCTAGGCAACTTAAACTGTCTCAGAATAAAAAAATGAAAAGAGCTGGGGATGTAGCTCAGTGGTAGAGCACCACTAGGTTTGATCTCTTGGGCCACCTTCAACCTCCAGAAATAGACAGCTAGTCTCTTCCAGCCATACAAATATCTACATCTGGCTGCTAATGACCATCAGTGGTCCTTCCAGTGTTTGCATACCTGAGTATATTATTTATGATACAGAAGCCCTATTTGTTAAGACAGTTTGGAGCTTTGTAGATATTGCCAAAATAATCAGTAATTGTTAAACTGGACATAGGAGAACATATCTATAGTCCCAGCTACTTGAGAGGCTAGTGCAGGAGGACTGCAAGTTTGAGGCTAGCCTGGACAACTTTGTGAGACCCAGTCGAAAAATTTTAAAAATCTTTAAAAGGGCTGGGGATATAATTCAGCGCTCCCTGAGTTCAGTCTCCAGTAACACACACACACACACACACACACACACACACACACGCAATAACTGCTGCCCTAATGAATAGAGGGAAAAGATGGGAAGGAAAAGTTGAGTTTATGGGAGATACTAATCCCAAAACAGGAAAAGGATAAAATCTAAAAAATATCTACCTGTAAGCTCCTTCCATGAAAATGAAGCCAGAGAACATGCAAGAGCAGTGCAGGAAAAGAACTGGTATGAGGGGTACCACAAATATAGCTTCATATCAAAACGTGAAATATACAATAATTTACCTACAATGCTATAGCCATTCATGCAATTCCTCAAACACAAATACAACAAAGAAAGTAAGTCATCTCACATCTTTTCTAACTTGTCCACAAAGGTATTTTATAGCTGAAGTCCAATAAGGAGTAAAACTTAAGAACTTTCTTTACATATATATTTAAGGTGACAACATTTTAATTTATGATTAACAAGGAAAATTTAGGCATGAACATAAAGATGTGTACAATAACTGAAGTGAATGTTTTTGATGTTTTGATTTCTGCTGAACATGAGCCTATTGCTTTTGCTGAGGATTCTTTTGAGGCTAACTTGATAATGACATTTTCTTTCTTTCTTTTTTTTTTGGGGGGGTACCAGAAATCGAACCCAGGACCGTGTGCTTGCCAGGCAGGCACTTGTGCTACTGAGCTACATCCCCAGCCCCTAACTTGATAATGAGAAACAGTAAGGCATTGTTGAATATTAGTTCAACAAATACATACAATGACCTACTTTAAATACATATGCACACAATCTAAACACTTGCACACACAGGTAAATAAATAAAAATACACAAACACACAAAACTCCACATTCTTAGTAGGTTTTGTTCTGTTTTATGCTTCTTTTGTGGTACTGGGGACTGAACTTAGGACCTCTGGAGTGAGGTACATCCCCAGAACTTCTTTTTATTTTTTATTTTGAGTCAGGATCTTACTAAGTAGTTAAGTTGCCCAGGCTGTGCTCAAACTTGTGATGCTCCTGCTTCAGCCTCCTGGAGTGCTGAGATTACAGGTATCCACCACTACACCTCACTCCAATCCTAGTTTTTTACTACTTGCACATTTTTAGCAACATGGGACTTACAGTTAGGGAGGTGGTAAAGATGGATGGAAGGAAACAGGGTCTGGAGAGGCAGACATTAGAATATCACAGAAACAAGCAAGACACTAGTTTCTGTTCTCCACTTAAACATTCCTTGGAGTTAAGGAATCAGCTACTGGGGAAAGGAATCCAGCAAACTTATTGTTTGCTCTTTTGTGCTATCTCCTGTGAAAAAGCTATGGTTACAACAAAGGGAAAGACTCTTTGTGTGTGTGTGTGTGTGTGTGTGTGTGTGTGGTACTAAGGACTAGACCCAGGGTCTTCACACTGAGCTGTACCTCCAGGCCCCTTCCTTTTGTATTTTTGCGACAGGGTCTTGCTGAGTTGCTCAGACTGTGCATGAACTTGTGATCCTCTGCCTCAGCCTCCTAAAGTGCTGGGATTACAGGCATGTGCCACCACACTGAGCAGAGTCTTTTAAAAGTACAATATTCTGAAGATTATAGAAAACAACAGGAACCAGAGTTGCCACTTCACCTTTCTGTCTTTTTCTTCATTTTGGGGAGCACATTTCAAGAGATTATTAATAGATAAATATTATACCCATGTAATATCACAACATACATACGTATATACACATAAACAAAAATGAAAAAATTCAGAAGTAGGAGAAAGAGAATGAATATGCTTACATAGGATATGCACTCTTCATTCCATTACTCACCTTTCTCTCTAGGCAATAAGCTCCAGGAACATGCAGCTTCCATATCTTTTCTTTCCTGCTTACTGGTCATCCTAAAAAGATAAAAAAGGACTATAATCCAGAACAGAGATGATAACTTTCCAAAACATATTTAGACCCCCTTGGTAAAGGGAGAATTCTGACTATGGATTAGAACGCCGTAATGTAAGATAAACAGTAAGAGTCACACCTAGGCCCTAGATACATTTCTATCTACCTATGGACTTGAGTAAATTTCTTCTCCTTTCCAGGTCTTTTTTATTATTTAAAAATGGCTCAGGCAATGCTAGATCAGGTTTCTTTCTAGGTTGAACACTAAAAACAGAGGTTCTCAGTTCTAGCTCAATATACAGCTTTCTCAAACTTATTTTGTCCTTGGCAATATGACTTTTCATTTTCTAATGTATTTATTGTATGCCTCAGGGTTGGGAACATTAGTCTCCAATTAAAACAAGGCAGCTGATTCTTATCTAGAACTTAAAGAGGGGCTTGGGCTTCTGTGATGAAGGGAGGTTGCCTAGGCTATGAATGGTTAAGGAGAATATAGACAAAATAAGCAAAGGTTGCCTTGTCAGGCAGATGAAGAATGCCAGGTAGTAGCCAGCAGTAGTCATCTCTGGGCCTGATATCACATATGCAATCTAGGGGCTGGGGATATAGCTCAGTTGCACAAGTGCCTGCCTGGCAAGTGCAAAGTCCTGAATTCAATTCCCAGTTCCAAAAAAAAAAAAATCACATCTACACTCTCTTCTTCCTTTGGAAAGATCCCTGATGTATTATTCTTATCATTCTTTGTCAGTCTTTCTCATCCAAATTAAATTACCGGGTCTATCTCAGCTTTTGCCATGAATTTTACAGTCTCACACACATACACACACACACACACACACACACACACACACAAAATAGAGTTTATTTTCCAAATTCTACCCTTTCATCTCAGCCTTAAGACTTGCTTTGGCTAACAAACTGCACCCAGAATGGGACACGTCCCACTTGTGACTCTATCACTATCGTAAGTGAAGCCACAAGAGAAGCAAGCCCCCACTACTCCACTGGTCCAAGGAGGATGAGAGCTATGTGAAGTACAGCCACCCTAGTTTACCCATAGTCCTGCAACAAAAAGTATAGCGCCACCTCGGCCTGAATGAGAGTTGCCTAACAGAGTGCTCTTAGTCAGCTAGCCTCCAGATCTGATAATAAGTGATTAATGGCACAGAAATTTTACACTTGCTGTTACATATCACTGTAATGATAACTAACTGATGCATCTTGCTAGAATATGTGTCTAGAAAGGGTTTAGCACATAGTAGATACTTATTAAATATTTATTAACTAAATTAAATGAATGAATAGAAGCTTTTTAAAAATTTTTTGTCTTTTTGAGACAGGGTCTCGCTATGCAGTTCAGGCTGCTCTTGAGCTCACTGGTCAAGGCTGGTCTCAAACTTGCAACAATCCTTCTGCCTCAGCTTCCTGAGTGCTGGGCTTACAGGCGTGTGCCACTACGCCTGGCTCAATAGAAGCTTTTAAAAATAATCCATTTAAAAAGATCTACCTACCACCTATCCTTCATTTTTCTCTGTATTTATACTTTGGGCTTCCCACACAAGAAAAACTATGTGATACTTGAACTTTGGAGGGCAGGCAAAAACAGAATCGAGGAAAAAAATGGAAATAGAGCTTTTGCAAATGGGAAGGGGAGCAAGAGTTGGAGGGAGCAGGAAGGGATGGGAGGGGAAGGGGTAAAAAAGAAATAGGATGGGTTATGTACATGTAAAATTTCCTCCGTGATAAATGTGATGATGATGTACTGTAGACATATACTAATAAAAAAGAATAATCCAGTGACCTGGTCCACATTCTAGATAAATCAAATCAGGATCTTTGATGAGGGTTGGTATTGATTTTTTTAAAAGGTCCCCAGGTGATCTTAATATGCAGCCAGGGAAGAGAGGCAGTTTTCTAAAGTTTAGTTATCTTTGGTAGAGGAAAAGAGTGCATGAGTAAAACACATGGGCTTTAAATGCAAGAAAAACGTGCAAGCCCTAACTCTAACACTTATGGTATGAATACCATGGAATTAACATCTCTGAGACTCAGATTCATTATTTATTAAGCAAGAATAACACCAATACTTTCCTTATAAGGTTGTTATGAGGACTGAACTGAGATAAGGCATACAAAATGCTCAGCATACTACATGGTACACTGTAAAGGTTTAATAATTCTAAACTATAACAATGTTTGCATTGTTTTAATATTTTATATGGAGTAGATATATCTGAACTCAGATATTTGAGTCTTTCTATTCTTTCTCTCAATACGACCTTGAGTAAATTAGCAGAGACTCCTGTAACACACATACAAATTATGGTTAATAATATCTGCATGTTGGGAATGTAGCTCAGTGGTAGAGCACTTGCTTCACATGCATAAGGCCCTGGGTTTTATCCTCAACCCTTCCCTATCCTACCTTACCCTACCCTACCCTACCCTACACACACACACACACACACACACACACACACACACGAAGATAATAGTAGTATCTACTTCATTCATTTGTTGTGAGGAATAAATATGTTGATATGAATAAAACACTTAAGACAGGGCCAGGGGCAATATAAATGACAAATGTTAGATAAAAAATGAGATGGAACTTACTATATCTTTGACAGAAAGTTACATTCCATTAAAATCTACACATAACAATTCTACTCTTATGAAATGGAATGTTCTCAGCACAGTGTTTTATTGACATATTTTGGATTCTTTTTCCAATTTCTGAAATTAACATCGTCTTTCTCAAGATAGGAGCAATCCTCCATCTTCAAATTACCTGCCCTCTCACCAGCAAAAATACCTGACCTAGGAAACTAAAGCTGGAGAGGTGTGTGGCCTCTCATTCTCTTTCTGATCAATTTAAATGTTATCCATTATTTCAGTTATCCTTATTACTCCTGTGTATCCTAGATCTCTCCTCAGAGATCTTGATTTATACATTTAAAGGCTTACTTAAACTGGGCATGGTAGTACATACCTGTAATCCTAGTAGTCAGGAGGCTGAGGCAGAAGGATTGCAAATTTCAGGCCAGCCGAGTCCTCAAGTCCTCGAGCAAGTTTAAGGCCAGCCTGGGTTACAAACAGAGAGGTTGTCTCAAAAAACAAACAAAAATAAGTAAGTACATAAAGGCTTACTCAACATCTCTAATTGGATACTGATATCTCTGTTTTTACCTCTTTTGGTTGCTACTGTTTGGTTTGTTCAACATTCTTTTACTGATCTTGCTCTAATAAGAGATCACAATCTGTCTTTAGAATAATCACTTCTCCATCCTTGAATTTTAAAACCTGATTGAGGACTCTAAGGACTGAAGTTCCGCTACCAAAATGCCTCAAACTCATTGGTTCTTGACCTTATGGAGGACTTTCCAGAATTTAAGTTTGAATTTGAGCAACTATAGTATCCTTCCAAGCATGCATTTTTGCTTAAATTATGCAAAATTCAATTTCTGCTGCCTGTAATTTAAAAATTTTGCTATAACAGTCATATCTCAGAGTAAATTAAACTCAAAAGTCTTTGGGAAATTATGAGGCAGGCATCTTATAACTGGTTCCAGTTAGGCTGTGAGATAGCCTGAATTTCAGGACAAGGGAAAAGTACAATCTATTGCAGTAGGATTTCCACTAGGACACATGGAATCATTATGCAAAGTACTAAAAAATGCTTTCCTCAAGAAGACAAATCAGACTCAGATGTCTCTTCTGGGCAGCTGAACTAGAAAATGAAAAAATGGTACTTTCCTCTGAGAAAAGACAGCACCACGTTAGGGCACACAAGTTAGCTGAGTATGGGCTAATTTCAGTACCCACTTCACATTCTTGGCATATGCCTTTTCAGTCTACAACCCATACAACTTTTACATGGTGACTCAACATGGCATGTATGCTGCCAGAAAGATGGGAAGGAACCGTTACATTTTTTTCAGCTTTACTGACACATAAAGGAGAAACAAAATACAACATGATGATTTGGTGTACACACATATAAACTGTGAAATGATTCCCACAACCGAGCTAATATGTTAGTCACTTCACAGAGTTATTTTTTGTGTGTGGTAAGAATATTTAAGATCTACTTTCTTAGCCAAATTCAAATATACACTATAATATTAACTATAGTCATGGTGCAGTATATAAGATGCCGAGTTTACACTTCTTATAACTGAAACTTTGTACTCTTTGACCATCACTTTCCCATTTCCTCAACCCTCAGGCTCTGGCAACCACCATTCTACTCTCTCCTATGTATTTGACTTTTTTTGGATTTCTCATATAAGTGAAATTATACAGTGTTTGTCTTTCTGTGTCTGGTTTATTTTATTTAACATGTCCTTCAGGTTCATCCATGTTAGTGCAGATGGCAAGATTTCTGCCTTTCTAGCCAAATAATATTCTATTACATACCATATCTCCTTTATCTATTCATCCAACAGACACTTGGGTTCTTTCCATATCTTGACTATCATGAATAATGCAATGAACATGAGAGTACAGATATGTCTTCAAAATATTGATTTCATTTCTTCAAATATATACCTAAGAATAGGATTGCTAGATCATATCGTAGATTTACAATTAATATTCTGAGGAACTTCCACGCTGTTTTCTGTAATAGCCATATCAATTATATTCCCAGGAACAGTGTGCAAGGATCCCCTATGTATTGTCTCTCATCAATACTTATTATCTCTTCTCTTTTCGCAAACAACTCTCCTAACAGGTGTGAAGTGTTATCTCGTTGTATTTTTTTAATTTGCATTTGCCTGATGATCAATGATGCCCAAGACCTTTACATATACCTCTTTGGTCACTTGTATGTCTTCTTTGGAAAAAAGGTCCACTCCGGTCCTTTGCTTTTTTTTTTAATTGGGTTACTTATTTTTCACAATAAAAATTAAAAGAGCAACACTTATTTCCAGTCTTAAAGTGAGACTCTATTTTTTAAAGTTGAGACATAATTCACACAGTGTAAAATTCACCCTTTCGAAATATATAATTCAATGCTTCATAGCGTATACACAAAGTTTTACAGCCATCACCACCAATTCCAGAATATTTCTATAAGCACAAAAATACTGCATTACACATACACTCTCTATTTGCCCTCGCCTCTTAGTGCCTGGCAGCCATTCCACTTTCCATCTCTAAGGATTTGCCTACTCTAGACATTTCATGGAAGTGGAATCATGCAATATGTAGCCTTTTGCATCTGGCTTTTTGACTTGCCATAAAGTTTTCAAGGTTCTTGCATGTTATAGCATGTATCTGTACTTTATTCTCCTTTATGGATGATTAAAAGCATTAAAAATCCACTAGGATTACTATATTTTTTAAATGGAAAGTGGCAAAGATGTTGCAAAGTGGGAATCCTTATACACTGCTGGTGGAAACATACAATGGTGCAGACACTGTGGAAAATGATTAGGTGGTTCCTCAGTAAATTAAACAGAGAATTACCATGTGACCCAACAATTCATACCTAGGTATGTGCTCAAAGGAATTAAAGATAGGTATTCAAATTAAAAAAGTACAATAATGTTCATACCAGTACCTTCAAAAAAAGTGGAAACAGACCAAATTTCTATCAACTGATGAAATGATAACCAAAATGTATTATATAATTACACAATGGAGTATTAGTAAACCATAAAAAGAATGAAGTATTAATATATACTATACATAAATAACCCTTAAAAACATTATGCAAACTGAAAGATGCCGGAAACAAAAGGCTGGATATTGTGAGATTCCATTTATGTAAAATATTCTGAATAGGAAAACGCATAGAGATAAAGTAAATTAATGGATACCAGCAGCTGGGAGGAAAGGGAGAATTGATAATGACTGTTAACACAAGTGTGGGCGTTTTGTTTAGGGTGTTGGAAAAATTTTGGAATTACCGGTGACAGATACATAGCATTGTGAATATACTAAATATCACTAAAATGCACACTTTAAAATGTGGAATTCTAGCCTAGTGTGATGGTGCAAACTATTCAGGAGGCTGAGGCAGGAGGATCATAAGTTCAAAGTCAGTCCTCGCAATTCAGCAAGTCCCTGGCTCAAAATAAAATATAAAATAAAATAAAATAAAATAAAAACAAATAGGGCTGGGGATGTGCTACAGCATTCCAGGGACTCAAATCACAGTACCACCAAAAAAAAGTGAATTTTATGGTGATGTGAATAGGACCAATCAATATCAATTAAATAAAATTAATTTAAAATTAAACCTTTATGAGGTAGATACTGTGATTTCCCCTTTTACACATAAGAAAAATGATTCTTAAGCAAAATAATTTGTACAAAGTCTCAGAGGTAGACAGTGAAGGAGCAGAGTAAAACTGGGGAATGAAGGACAGAAAAGCAGGCAAACGTGAAGACTTGGAGAGCAAAGCAGCAATCCAAGTGTGTGTTGATGGTGGACCTGAACACAGTAAATAATTCAAAATAAGGTCCAACTTACTTCAGGTATGTGACTTTACAGGACAATCTCAGTGAGCTTTGACTTAGGACAGTACAACTAGGTACTCCTAAAAGAAACCAAAAGAAATCAGTTTAGTATCTTTAATCAGAATAAAATTTTTACTATAACTTCTTTGGAAATACATATACGTATTTTATATGTGGGTATGTGTGTATATTTACAAAGTCTTTCTTATCAGTGTGTTCTACATCTGTGCATTCAAATGAGGATCTAAAGTATTCTTTAAAAATTTTTGTACTAAACCCTGGCCTTTTCTTGGTATTATTTTCTAAACAATACAGTATAACTACTACTTACGAAGCATGTACATTGTACTAGGCATTATAAGTAATCTAGACATGATTTAACATATAAAAGTGGATGTGCATAGGCTATATGTTAATATTACACCATTTTATAGGAAATGTGCACATCTGAGGATTTTTTTTATCTACGGGCATTCCTAAGATATCAATTTTCCTAAGATATCACGGGACCACTATATATATATATATTCTTTTTTCCTAAGTACATTGCCACTTATTAAAGGTTCCCCATGTGCTGGGAATGTATTACACTGATTTATACTTCCAGCTACCCTGTGCGCAACTATCTCATTTTATAAAAGAAGAAAGTAGAGCAAGGAAAGAGTAGGAAAATTGCTTAAAGTCACACACACAGTTAATGGTGAAGATAGTATCGGAACCCAACTCTGCTGGTCTTCCTCTAGTCGCCCAGTAAGGTCCCAACCTTACTTAGATTCGTAAGTCTGCCCACTACCCGTCAGCTGTGGAGATTTGGGGAGGAGGGCGGGGGACTGGGAATCCTGTAAGAAAGATTCCAAATCTCTAGCCCAACCTTATTTAGCAAGGAACTGGCCAGTGCACCCTGAGGCTAGGGAAGTGCCACGAGGGACCTTGCAGACCTGAGCCAAAAGAAGACCCTAGCCTGAAGTTCTGGAAACTTGCGGGGATATGTTCTGTTTTATAACCCCTCATTTTGAGGGCACCAGGCCCTACAGGTGCAGTTCTGAACTTGGTGTTGAAGCCACACCAGGCCAAGCGAAGGACAGTCTCATAGATTAGACATTACTTTGGCCATCTGTTTCATTTCTTCTCAAAAAAAAAAAAAAAAATCAAAAGA